ATACCAATATGCTGCATGACGTAGACGTTACAAAAATGACTTGTACAATAGTCATAAAATAGAATCGTTCAACGGATGTTTTGGCAAACAGAAGAAGCTATTTTACAAGTGTTCGTGCGAGGCACTTATGCAGCTATGAAGTATTATACCTAGGGAGCTAGTTGCGCTTGTCCTCCGCGGTGAGACGATGCTTCTTCTTCTATCATCGATTTGGGACTGAGTGTCGGCAACAGCTCCCAAGACGTCCAAGGACCTGGAAGCATAGTTATGATTGTACCAACAAGAATATGGAGGCAACCAGTAAACTGATATCGATGTCCACCGTAACAATGATCACGATCCAATCATGATTGGATTATTGTAAATACTGTTGGCATAGCAAGATACACTCGATATACACTCGATATCAATGTTCCATATTCCTCGCGTTTTACTTATTTATTTTCTCATGTAACATTTTTAGTTTTTTATACCCAAGTCGTACGAGAGCACCGATCCACTTTCTCAACGAACAATTGCTATAATCATGACGATAACAATATATAAGAAAATCTATCAATATCTCCAAATTACAAAAATAGCTGGATGTACATATAAGAATTTATTAATTAATAGATTATGGATGTTTACAGGAATTTCTATTTTCGTAGATTATTTTATACAAATTACAAATGATATAGATTCACAGTAAAAACTTTCTTATATTTTCTGTGACATCAGAAGATAAATTATCGTTCATTGAAAAGAAATAAAATATTCAGTGTTCAAAAAAACCTACGATCGCTAATTCTTCGTATCAAGCAGTGTTTCTTTGTTTCTCTATTATTTTCACGACTTTTTTCTGTTGAATACGTAAATCGTATATTATATACATACAGGGTATCCCAAAAAATGTCTCGCAATCCGGAAGTGGCGGGTTCCTCAGGTCATTTGAAGCAACCTTTTTCTTTACAAAAATTGTCTCCGAGGCGCCATTAACGAGTTATTAACGCAGGTTACGTCAAGGCAGTTATGTCAAGGTTATGTCAAGGTTACGTCAAGGTTATGGCAAGGTTTTGACAAGGTCAACATATGAAATTTTTAAGCAAGGTGTACAGTGAAGATTAACAAAATGATATTTTAATTTAAATAATTCCGTGTCCGAACATAGTTCAACGAATGATTCGCAAAGCTAATTTAATAAATAATAATCGTGTTAAAGGACGTAAGGGATATGTTTGTTAGAGAAATATGAAGAATATTATCAATAACCTTGACATAACCTTGACATAATATTATATCAAGGTTATCTCAAGGTTATGTCAAGGTTATCTCAAGGTTATCTCAAGGTTATATCAAGGTTATCTCAAGATTATTCAAAGCTGCAGATCGCATTTTCGCAAAGGGAACAGTTACTTCAAATGACCTCAGCTACCCCTCATTTTCGGCTGTTAAAATAATTCTGGAACACCCTGTATATTATATGCAGCTTGAACGAATACGCAAACTAAAATTTCTTGGAAATTTTGACTCGCGACGTTTCTCGTCACAGTCGCAGAGTCGTACTTACTCGAAGGAGCCTGTGTGTACGTCGGCATCCGGTGGCTCGGACTCGTAGAACACTTTCTTCAAAGCTTCCAGTACCGCGACGCCATCGGTAAAAACTCGATAGGTCAACAAGAACGTGTTGAGGAAATCGATGCTGAGGAACCGTAGATCCGTCAGTTGCTGAAGCAACCGTTCGGGTGTCGCTGAACGTATGTGCGGTATTTTACGAGAATTCAGTTTCCTGCTGAATCTGATGTCCACGTCATCCTTGAACAGGCTCGGATCGTTTGCGATCGTTTGCGGCATCGTGACGGAACCGCTGTCCGACAACGCGGGGCAAAGCAACCGGTCTCTAAAGTGGACGTTATCCACGCACTGCGCGATGTCGCTGATCCAAGCAGCCTTTTCCTGTGTACATCGTCATTTTCGTCAATCTCAAGTTATTCGTGTTGATATACACTTTCTCAGAATGCTTCCTTATGTAGGACACATTCACCTTTCCTCGAATCAAATTCACCCTTTCGTTGGCCACGTACATCTGTTTGCGAAACGAGTGTACAGGGCGTTTTACCGGCTGTGTTACAAAGCAACATCTTCGTTCAAGCAACGTCGTCTCTATATCTAAATGTTTTAGGATTTTCCTAACTCAAGGTCACGCGAAGATCGTGGTATCACAGGTCATTAGATTCGACTTAATCTTAGCTGTCGCGATACAATGATTGAAATATGTGATCCCATTTTTTTAAAATATCGATGACCTTTAAATCGAAAATATGGTCTCCAAAGAAAATTATTTCCACCACATGTGACCCTTCGAACCATACAATTTGTACCTGTAGAATTTTTTAGTATTATTAATGATAACAGAGATGTTGCTTTGTGTAATTGCAATACGTGAATGAAGACAATCGGATGAAGTATAGTTAGTTTTGAACAATGTAAGCTTCCATAAGGCACACTTTATTATTTTTATCGCGTGATAAAATTAGAAATCACTGGACAAACAAACCTATCTCGGATTTCATTTTCATTAGAATGGTTTAATGAAACAAAGTAGAGAAGCCTGATTCACGAACGGTTCAGTTTGATTTACAAAAGGACGAATTTAATTAGGAGAAAGGCGCATTTGATTTTGGAAAAGGTGAATTCGATTTAATAAATGGTGAATATACAGGGTGTCCCAGGTTTTAATGTTCAAACTTTGTCAGTGTATTCTATGGCACAAAGTAAGAAAAAAATGTTATAATATAAAAATTCAGAATAGGAATAGTAATCAACTAAAAAAAAAATAAAAAATATAAAAAAATCTTCGATCGATGTCAATCATGTATTGTCAACAACGGCTATTAATACATTTCGAAATGTATTAATAAACACAGCTTACATAAACACACGGTATGTGCAGTAACAGCAAGTTGATTACTATTCCTATTCTGAATTTTTGTTATAACTTCTTAATAAAGCTCTATATGACCTATGTTTGCATAACATTTTTTTTTACTTTGCACCATAATAATAAAATGTATAAGTTAGTACAAATTGTATAAGTTTGAACGTGAAAACCTGGGATACCCTGTATATAATTTGCGAAAGGATGAACTTGGAGCTCAAAACCTGTAACTGTAATCTAGTGTTAATGAGTATAACACGTTAAGTACCACCTTGCTTACATATGAGAAACACTAATCCAAGTTTGGACATTCATTGTTACTGTGCTTTACTCGAATTAATTGAATTATATCCCACGGTAAATTCGAACTGTCCAATTTTGATTTTACGAATCAAATTACATCGATTTTGCAGGAATTTTATCTTTTCATTGACCTTGGTCACTCAAGGTGTCAAGTATTATACAAGAGGAGAGCACGTTTGAAACAAAATTCTTGAGAATAGTGATCACAGTACTATTATTTGATACTGAAGCTGCCGCAACGATCAACGATTTCTTTAAATTGAACGGACAAAAGTGAACTATTTTATATACCTGTAAAGTAGCAGCAACTAGGTGCACCGTTACTTGGGGTCCACCAGTCTCCAGGTTGACTATAATCTTAAAATCACGGTTCTGAAAGTGATTACTTGTAGTTCCACTAGCACTGCCACTGCTTTCGCTGATACCGCTGGACATCGAACATACTGAGATTTCTATAATCAGTTCGCAGTCATGGCAATAATACATTAATTATATAGAAAGTTTTTTAAATACTCCTTTTTCACGACAGATCAGCCAAGGCGGAGGAAGCTGGAGCTGTTTCAAACTAAATTAAACTATATGGAAATTATAAACGAATGTAACATAATTAGCTGTCTCTACGGTACGAAAATTATGGTTGCTTAGATCGACCAGTTTTGTCTGCTTTTCATTTACGTTTAGAAAATGATTACTTTTATCAGTCATTATTTCTAATAATAATTATCATTTTCGTAACACAACAAAATAATTTCTATATCTAGTAAATTCGTTCCGGTATTACAAACAACAGGGATTGATAATTATAAAAACCGAAATATCACGTAATCGAATATTATATTTGACCATGATTGAAGCCCGCAGTGAAAGGAATTACGTATTACTAACGCACACATGTATATGTATATCATCGTATTCATGTCAGTAGACTTTGAAACAGTGATTTAATTAAAAAATAATTCGGGAAGATCAAATACTTTCAAGTTTCTTTTTTTGGTACAATAAAATACGGAAATTAATTTGTCATATGTGTACGTACGCATTTATTTAAGTATAATTATTATTTAGCTATATTTTTTATCAAGTTTCTACTGTAAATATTAAGATTTATATCGTCCAATTACAGTGTGATATATTATTGTAATTTTATATGAACTTGCAATTCTGACAGTTTGCTTCAGACCTCAGCAAGTAGAAAAGCTGTCATGGGTCAGACATTTCAAGTAGAAAAGGCTAATATTGTTCGGACATACTAAGTAGAAAAGCTGCCATGGGTCAGACATTTCAAGTAGAAAAGGCTAATACGAAGGACGTATCAAGTAGAAAAAGCTGACATTAGTCAGCCATATGAAGTAGAAAACGCTTACATTGGTCAGATATAATTCACGGCTCTGTTTAATAGCGTGAAATTCTTAATGACCATTATAAAATGTTGTACATAAAATTTCGTATGATTTAATATTTGTATTCTTCTGGGTTTGTCCGAAATCGTATCGTCACTTAAACATGAATGACAAATTAAATAATATGCTTGCGAATTTATAATAATCAATCAGATTAGTATGAATTATAAGCATCTTATGTACTTCAAATGTATTGTTATTAATATTAGTTATCGATTCAATCAGCCATAATTTTTGTGTAATAGTCATAATGCAAAATATTACTTTCGACGCTGCAACGAAACATAAGCATTTAACATGATTGAACAAATTCTTCGAAACATAAGCCAAGAGTTATGGAGTTGTGTTTTGGTTTAGTTTAATTAGTTTTCAAGAAAATCATAAGACTATTATTCTGATCGTCAGGTTATATTTTATTATATATTATTATATATAATATATTTTATTATATTATTCTGATTATCAGGATTATGTGTATAAATAAAGAAGTATCTTTTACACAGAATAAAAAGAATTCGATTATTTGAATCAACGAGACTAATCCTTAAATCAATCTATAAAAACCTAGTAAAACAATATTTTAATACAAATCTCTAAAAATGAAAATGATAGAGATAACGCATAAATCATAAAAAGAAGATCGTGTATCTAATGCTGATGCAGCTTTTCCCATGAGTTCCTGCGTGTATCTGTATGAAATGAAATTAGGCATAGATCATGCTGTGTAAGCTGCATTAACGGCGACGATCGCAAATATAGCATGAGCGGCTGCAATTAATAAGCGTTAGATTAACAATAATGTGATGAAATTACCGTCATCTTCCGTGTTCGTTAGTTCGTTAGGGTCCTCTATCAGCACCGCCTTAGACAATGGGATTTTGCCAATTTGGGGAACCAAATTCACACGGCCGTTGCCATCCGATTGACGCGTTGTTATCAACAAATGATTCGAAAACAGATAGCATTGTCTGACGGCCTCTTTCTCGCCGCCTTTGCCTCCGAAAGTCGCGCTCAATCTACTTCTGGCTCCTTTCGGCTTATCCAAAATTTGGATGAGCGTGTCTGCAAAAGATAAGAAACTTAGCATCCAAGTAATAGTAACTAATACACCGTGGATTTCAAAATGACTATTTATAATATTATCAACAGTTCTTCCATAGTTATCCCGACATTTCAGCGAAAATAGAATTCTGAGCTATTCGAATATTGTTGAAGAAATAAAATGTTTATTGTACGCAGACTGTACATTTTTATGCAGTTATGAGAATGACGGTAACGTGGAACGCAAAACACTGAAAACGTCAGAAGAATAGGAGAACATGGATACATTATTTTCACATGATTAATGTCATCGATAGAAAAATTATAACAGAACCAAATTGACTTCGATAAAGATCATTTTTATTTTGCATAAATATCCGCGGTCTACTTGCAAGTAATCTCACGTAGGTTCTAAACTATTCCTTAACAACGTTCTATAGAATGTAAATTTTAATTTCACATTAATATTTACGAAATTAAGTGTTATAAAATGTTCCAAAATTAATTACGATCTATTTGTCAGCAGTTTTACAATTGCATCGTAAACTTTTAACAAACTCAAATGTAGAGAGATATTTCGCAACGGAATGGCAAGCTATAAACAATTCGTTATATTTGCGGTTCAACGATGTCACAGCATTAGAAGTTGTTTCATTTACCAGAATGCGCCTCTCGACAAGAATTTATACAAATTGATTAATTGACGCCTTAACAGCCGCAACTCGCGAAATACGCACGTTGTTTACATCTGGAATCAATACAGCTTGTCGACAGAGGCATCGACTATGGAATGTTACGCGTTCATAACCTGTCAACGATGTTTCTGACGAATAGTTCCTCTATTACAAACATTTCGAACACAGCGTACATGCACCAATGCAATCACGAGCACCCGTCGATCGCACAGAACAGTGTGACCGATTAATTACCAATGCTCTCATAACAACTCTCTCGCGATAACAGCAATAAAAAGGAAAACAACGAAAAGAAAAACAACAAAAACAACAACAATGTTACTGTGTACCTTTGATCCCAAACAGTTTCATTTGTGCGCGGTTTTAGTCCCTGTTTTTCACGACGAAGCTCCCGGCAAATGTAATTTCCCTCGAACTCAGCCATCCCCCGTTTCTCGAGCCGCGAAAAATTTACGAAATCATGCGAAGCTCAAGATGGAGCTCGAACATCCTGTTTATACGGACGTTTATATCACGTCCTTCCAACCGCGTGGTCGAATAAGCCGAACGTTCGATGTAAACCTCAGAAATGCATGACTCTCTATGTCTCGTGTTCGGCGGGCGTTGCGGATACAAGACTTTCGCGGTTCCGTCGAGAAAATACGGCGAAACGATTCGCTGCAGCCACTTTTCCTGTACAGCGAGAGAATGTTTGCATGGTGGCCATGCGATCCGTGGCTAAACACGAGGGACCAGGGCCGTGTCGCGAACGATTTTTCCCAATTCATTCGCATTCGTTTCCTCCGACCGGAATGTATTTTCTATAACAATTTCGAGATTCGATGTCTCACGGTCTACATTATTCGATTAGGCGATCAGAGCGGAGATCGCAAATGTAAGTAAAGTGGTTTCGGAACAACGTGAATCGGAAATCTCTGTTTCGTGTGTCAGATTTTGGTGCATCGGCAAGTCGCGTCTGCGATCTCCTTCAAAATATTCCATCGGGATTATTCGGATTCGATTCGGAAAATTCGGGGAATTCGGAGAATGCGGTTAAGACAGCCCTGACAATTATCCTTGTGTTTGTGTTGATTCCGCCACGAACACATGTCCATCGATTCCGAGGGAACGCGGATGCACGCTTGCGCGATCCGCCTCGAGTTTCTGCTTTTCACGGACTTCCGCGCTGAAACTTCAAGCGAAACCGCCCGGCGACATGTCCGACCGAGACTTTATCGACTGTGTCGAAGACTTTCGCGTCTCTTGGCGCAGGGTAAACTGTTTTGGAAACAATGGACGTTGTCGATGGAATTTCGTTACCAGCGCTCAACAACTCGAGAAAGCAGGATTTCTACTAAAGACAATGGAAGTCCGTATTGCGGAAGAATGCGAACACAGTGGAATTATCCAAACTAACGTGGACGATAGGGTCGTTCGGTTAATAGAACAGTTTATCGGTTAGACAACTAAATTAATTATGTATTTTTGAGAAAAATGTAACCCAAGTATACTCGTTTTCCGAAGTAATTTTCTTCAAGACACGTCTTTTGCGAGGGATGATCCCCAATCCGGAAATTCAGAAAATTCTGAAACTTCAGGGATATGTAAAGCGCACGTAGATATATTATATTATGCAATTTTGTTTCGAATAAATTCGTTTTACGGGATGCAAATTAACCCCGAAATATTCAGTTATTTTTGCTATGACTCGCAAACTGTACAAAAAGACTTCAAACGAAAGTTATTTCTTTTTTGTCCAGATCTGTCACATGATGTACGATTTGTTAGTTGTTCAAACAATTGAATAAAGTGATAAACAAATAATCGATATTGTTCGTATAATATATTGTGTGAGATTGTGAACACAGTTTGAATGTGCAGTTATGTACAAATATATGCGTGGACACCATTTAAAAGCGAATAACTCTCCTATAACTGCACCAAACGATTTGAATTGTTTTTTATACGATGGAAGAGCTAGTTTGACTATTACATAAACAAATTTTGACGAAAATTTTAATTGCTTGGGATAGCAAAAAAAAGGGATTGAATCACGTTTATCAACTTGTTTGTCTGAGCATTCCAATTGTCCTGAAAATTCACGCGTAGCTGCAGCTCGGAAAAGTAATAATATTGCTTACCCTGTCTGACGAATACTTGATTAACATCGAGTAGAATGTCGCAGCCTTCGACAATCATTCGTTCCACGGACAAATTTTTCCGTAAGCTCTCTGTTTCGCTGACCTGCAAAAATATACACGTGTACACATTGATCACTGTTTTGTTTCCAGTCAATTTCATGATCAAAAATACCAAATTAATATTTTCCTATATGGAATCCAAAGTATTATGTATATATATATGTATACAATTCTTATCGATACCTCGTGTTGCATCTGGTTCGATAATTCCACTAATTTATCCTTCGCGTTTTTTAAGCTTTTACGTTCCACGTGATCGATTGGCGTATGTGCCAATATTTCATTCAGCGTGACAATATACTTCGGAAACTGAAACACACAAGTAAGTCATACGTTTTACGCAGTTTTTGACATTCTTATCAGAGAATTATATTTTCATTGCAAGCAATCTTCTAATCGATGGAAGAATAATGTTTAAAAAAAAGCTAAATGTGGAAATGAAAATACATTCGGAGATCCGTGGCTTGTATGCAAACTATAAATACGTAAACATCGACAGTTTATTAAGAATATTGTACAAGCAACGTTGAAATTAAGCATTGTGTTCGTTTGGCAATTTTCCCGATGAATTACTTGTAAATCTTTGCGCAGAATAATGCTTCAATTCTTTCAATGTTTCTTCCATTTTAAATCGCAGCTACGCATTTTTCTCGTGTATGCATACAATCTGCAATCTATTAATGAATCCATAATGCAAATTCATTAGCTCGGATTTTCTGAAATCGCAGTTTGGAACCACTTAATTATCTATGAGGTTTAGTGCGTCAAACCAGTGTTGAGCGAACTTCAATCGACCGACGAATAATGAATAAGAATAACGCATTATTCGCGAATAATTTATTCACGATTAAGGTAATAGTAAATTATTCTCGAATAAAATTATTCGAATAATTATCTGGATAAACAGTTATGCGAATAATGCCAAACTCTGTGTCGAACTTTATACATTAATTCGCGTGTCAAATAAAATATGATTTTTCTACAGATTGCATAGTGTATAGAAATATGACGAGGATACAATACTATCTCCTATAGATTTGTGCCATATACATTGTATATATAGTTGAAGCTGTACTAAATCTCTTTCGTAACGAACGCCACATTTAATCCGCAAATTCACAAAAACCGCAGTTATTATTTCGCGTGGTTTGGTAACGTCCTGTGTTACACAAATTTTACACAATACTACTCGATCCGATTAATTGTCCTGGAAAACGATTGCAGGATGTTCTCGCGTTTCATTCCTTCCTCGATTGCTTTTAGCTTTATTCATCTAGAATGAGAGTTGATTTTTCATATTTTACCAATATTTATACTGTCAAAGATGGACGCTCGTTGAGATTTTTAATCGTTGTTATACTGGAAACACTTTTTAAGATGGAAAGAAATTTTGTAACTGCAAGAGCTTATTTTACCATATTAGAATGAAACAATAGAATCGCGATTTAATGTCGCAATTAATTGTAAACTATAGGAGAGATATGCAGTCATTTGTTTCCAGTTCTAATTATTTGAATCAGTCGATAGTAATACAATAGCATTTTAAAATTCTTTAATTACTTGCAATGCTTTTGTTCGCAAATTATTTGTCTACAAATAACACACTTATGTATTTGCGGATATTGCATAAATATTCCTCAGATTTTACGTAAATGTTCCTCGGATTTAGTTTCCTTCATAGATTAATTATGTTGTCGTACAATATTGGTGTTATTCTTGGATGATACAATCAATATTTATTATCAAATAATAAATATTATATACTATATTTATAATTTATAAATATTATATACTATATTTATAATTTATAAATATTGGTAAACAAGCGCGTGCATGTGAAAGTGATACGAAGGTACCAAGTTTAACATGATTTTATTGTCCGACCACTTTTATTTTACACGTCGAATTCAGTGTTCAGAAAGGGAAATGCAACTGTGGACAACGTTTGCACTTTGACTGTCCACCAAGCTATCTCGAAAACTCCAAAGAATCGAAGTAATTTATTTAATCAAATGAAAATTGAACGCAATAAAGAGAATATTTACTTTAATCAAGTGTTTCGGATTCACATTGTAAAATATATATATTTATGTTTGTAAAATCAATTAAGTATTTCAACTAGTATTTCATTTAATACAGAAATAAATTACTATTTCAAATGAAGCATATGCAACATGATTGGGAGAAATAAGATATTTACAAATATTTGTATTTCTTAGTATTAACATAAAGAATGTTAAATAGTCATAGAATACAGACTGAATCCATTTGCATACGAAGCCATTTTATTTTCAAAACCAAAATAGTTTTTCTAACCTCCAATATTTCCATTTCATATGATTCGTTAACCCTAGAAAGATAACCATATGACAACGTACGTAAAAGATAACCATACGCTTCAGAGGCGCATGCTTTTCTAAGGCGTCAATTTTATACTAACAATGGATATTTATTTAAGTTAATCTAGTCATTTTAAAGGTTTGGCATTATTGTAAAAATAAAATGCATTTATATTATATTTTTTTATATTTTAAGTAATTTTAAACTTAAATCACTAGACCTCTATGAAAAATTAACAAAAATCAACAGTC